GGAGGACGAGGGCGGTCGCGACGGAGATGTTGAAGGACTCGGTGAAGCCCCACATGGGCAAAAAGACGCGCACGTCGGCGGCGTCGACCATGACCTTTGAGACGCCGACGCCCTCGGAGCCGATGACGATCGCGAGCCGCGGAGGCAGCGCGCGCCGTAGCGCCGCCACGTCGGAGGTGAGGGGGAGCGCCTCCTGCGACAAGTCTGTCACCCACAGCGCACGCCCATCGGCCCTCACCGCGTCGATGCACTCCGCGCTCGACGTGAAGACGCGAATGTCGAGATGAGACGCGTAGACTTTCGCCTGCCGCGACCCGAGCAGCGAGCTGCAGTCCAGCCCGCGCTGCGCTGCGCGCGCCTGCAGCCGGCGCGTCGCGCGACTGTTGGCGCGTTGGCTCAGCTGCGCGCGCTCCACCGCCTCACCCGCGGTCGTGGCGTCGAGTGGCGCTGGCGAGGGCCGCGTGTCTGCGGGCAGCGGCGCCGATAGCCGCTGCACGAGCCAGACGCGCAGCACGCCGAGAGCCTCGGCGGTCCGCAACACGGCCACATGGTTCAGGTCGTCGCTGCAGTTCTCGAGCACCAGAAGCACGCGATCGCTCCGCCCACGCAACACCGTCTCCGCCTTGCTCGCGAGACGCAGCGGATCCTCTATGCGGTCTGCTGCAGCCTCCTGCGCAGCACTCACGGCATCACGTGCCGCTTCCGCCGCCGCGAGCGCTTGTGAGCGCTCGAGCGCACGCGCTGCCTTGCGAGCCTCCTTGTCCGCGGCGGACCTTGGTGTCTCCACGTACATGGCCACGCACGGTCTGCACTTTCGCATAGTCCCATCTCGGCGCGCCTGCCTCGGCGTGAATTCGATGGGCGCACGCAGAGTGCCGCACATGCTGCAACGCAGCAGGTTGGCGCGCGCGAAACGCACGGCCCGGCGCTGCCGCCAGAGCAGCAGCGCTGCGACGCACCCTCCCACGAGCAGGCATCTCGTCGCTGTCGCCATCGCTGTCCTCGACAACGCCCGAAGAGTAGCCGGCGGGGGTAAAGCGGAACGCGAAACCGCCGTTTTTGCCCCCGGTCCCGGAGCCGCAGCGCGCTTATAGACTGCGATGGCTGCCCACGCGAGACTCGCGACTGCTTTCCCCTGCACCACCGCGGCTTCGCTCCTGCTCGCCACGCCCGCCGTGGCGCTCATCGACCTGCGGCCTGACCCAGACAGCGTAGAGACGAGCTTGCGCTCTGAGCCGGGCGCAGGCATGACCGACAAGCAGCTCGGCTTCCTCAACTGGTTCTCGGTTCTCACAAAGGGAGCGCGCGATTTCGCTACGGCGGCAGAGGCGGCAGCCTCGCCCGGCGGCTATTCGTGGGAGTGGCCGTGGGACGAGGAGGCGCTCGAGCCAACCTCGCAGCCCGGCTTTAGCGCACCGCGCTACCAGCTCGCCTTCACAGCCTACGCGGCGGCCCTGCTCGGCGCGGCACACACGCCCGCCCACCCAGCGCAAACCGCGCGCATCCTTCGCGATGCCACGGCGCGGCTCCTCCATCCAACGAGCTACTCCTACTGGGCGGCGCGTGGGTACTGCGGGAGGCCGTGGAAAGGGCCGTGCAGGTGGACCCACACGGCGATGTGCCAGATCAGCGTGGCCCTCGCCGTCGCCCTCGACCGGCCCTGGCCTCCCGACCTTCTCCGGCACCGCTGCCCCGACCCAGTATTCAACGAGAACGTGATGTACTCGGCGCACCTGGCTCAGGCCGCCACCCTGTACGAGGCTTTTTCGGCAGAGCCCTCTCTTTCGACCGAGGGGTGGCACTTTGAGGGCGGATGGCCGACGCAGGACGAGCAGCAGGATGCTCTCTCGCTAGACCTGAGCCTGCTGTCCAACGCCACCGCCTTTGAAGCGCTGGTCGACCCCACCGGCGTGGTGGAGGCGGGGGAGGGCCCGCTCGGCGTCATGCCGGATCCTGTGCACTACACCCTCTCCTCGCTGATGGACGCACTGCATCGTCAGGCTCAGCCGCACTCCAAACATTGAGCAACCCTGCACAGCTCGCCGCCACATACCACGCATTGCCCGCAGATGAATGCGAGCAAGACGGGCGGTTTCCCGTGCGAGCCGCGCATCGTATACGTCGTGTGCAACCAGCACCCGTCGG